ATTAGAGGATTTTTTTAAACCGTGCGGTATATGCATTGAGACATATGAAACAGGCATCCGCACAAAAGTAACTGGTTACTTAATTTATATATATTTCAATAAATATAATTAAATAATAAATTTAAATTTGTAAATTATTTTAACATTCTTTTACTATATGATTTAAATCTTAGCCAATGAATTTATTTTAATATAAATATATTCGATTTAAAGTAATTTAATCGATCCGGCTAGCCCTGAATCTACTATCCACTAAAAATAATTGTAAATAGTGTCTAGTTATATTTAAAAAAAGAAAACTATTAACTGTAACTTGTTATATTTTCCCAAATTTAACTACTAACTTAACTAGTTGCATTACATTGCCAAGTAACTTTTAACAACACTATCTATTTTATTTTGTACTTATCTTTAAAAATAAATTTCGTAAAATTCCTTACAAATCATGTCAAAATCTTATTCTACCATTAATTCATCTAATAATCGAAAAACCTCGCTTATATAAGGTAATTCTAATATTAAAAATTATGTAAAATACTATAACTTTTTTTTCCTATGACTATATATAACATTTCTTTATAAAATAATCATAACTTTAAGTAAAATTCTTTATAAAATAATTCTCTATAAAATACATTCTTTATAAAATAATTCTCTATAAAATACATTCTTTATAAAATAATTCTCTGTAAAATCATTCTCTATAAAGTCATTTTCTGTAAAATCATTCTCTATAAAATAATTCTCTGTAAAATCATTCTCTATATACGACATTCTCTATAAATGACATTCTCTATAATTGTTTTCTCTATAAAAGATTCTCTGTAAAATACATTCTCTATAAAATAATTCTCTATAATCGACATTCTTTATAATTGTTTTCTCTGTAAAAGTTTCTCTATAATTGTTTTCTCTGTAATGCTTTCTCTGTAATGACTCGATACCGAATTTATTAGATAAACTTATAATAACCTAACATAATAGAACTTCTAAAAACTTAATGTAATGTAGATATAATAGTACGGCATACGGAAAAAATATTTAGCAAAAATCAAAAAAATAATTATTTAATCAAAAACACATTATAAAAATAGGGGAAACTGTAAGGGAATTTTCGAATTTTCCCAGCAAATTTCCCTTGTATTACATCCCTAATCATGACTGATTAAGTAGGATTAAAAGGACTCCAAATTAAATATGTTATATTTTTTATGCTCACATGATGAGTTTTGTTAAAAACAAAGGAATTTATGGGAAATAAATTTCAAATTTTTTAATATATCTGCAAATAAATTTATAGGATTTCCCATTCAAGGAAAAGTCCCAATCAAAAAAGGAAAAATTTCAATCATAAAAGGAAAGTTCCGATCAAAAAAGGAAAAGTTTCAATCATAAAAGGAAAGGTCCGATCAAAAAAGGAAAAGGGTCAATCATGAAAGGAAAAGTCCAAAAGGTTTAGGAAAAAGTCCGATCAAAAAAATAAAAGTGTCAAACAAAAAAGGAAAATTCCGAAAAGGAAAATTGTCAATAAAAAAAAGGAAAATTCCCGTTCAAAAAAGAAAAATTATTATTTTTTAAAATATTTTTTCTTGTCAATTTTTCTTATTTTATTTTTAACTTTCTAAGATTTCTTTTCTTTATTTTTCTTACTATCTTTAATTTATTTTTCTATTTTTTTTAACGATTCTTTACTTTTTTTTTCTTTATACATACAATATTCTTTTTATGATTTTTTCTATTTCTAACCTTTTCAATTTAAGTCATTTTTAATCTTTATTTTTTTGATCTTATCTCAATTTTTCTTCTTCTCATTTTGATAATTCTTTTTAAGAATTATATTTAATTTTCAATAAATTTTTGGCAGACAATTTTTTACATATCAAATTATTTAATTACAATAAATTGATCGTTTGGTTATAATGTAATGTACCTTTTTAAAATTAAATTAGTTTACTGTAATACTAAACGATATGTAAATTAATAAAATATAATCATTTTTAAATTCTTATTTTTAAAATTTTAATATTTATGCATATTCAATATTTTTGGGCAAGATTCCTAAAAAGAATTATCAAAAATGAGAAGAAAAAAATTGAGAAAAGATTAAAAATGACTTAAAGAGATTGAAAAGGATAGAAATGTTTGTAAAAGAGTACAATATAAGGAGAAAAAATCATAAAAAGAATATTAAGAAGAAAATTAAATAGAGAAAAGATAGTAAGAAAAATAAAGAAGAGAAATAGCAAAAAATTAGAAATAAAATAGGAAGGAATAATAAAAATAAATAAAAATTTAAGAAAAATTGAAAAGAATTTTTTTTTTATAAAAATAACGATTTTCCTTTTTTGATTGACACTTATCCTTTTTTGAATGAACCTTTTCATTCTTTGTTTGACACGTTTCCTTTTTGATCGGACATTTTCCTAAACCTTTGGGACTTTTCCTTTTTTGATTGACACTTTTCCTTTTTTAATTGGACCTTTTCCTTTTATGATAGGGACTTTTCCTTTTTAAATGGGAAAGTATTTAACTTACAAAATTTGTTTACTGTATTACAAATAATAATGTTGTTGAATTAAAATAAAGTTACAAGTACACCTGCAACCAGTTGCATTTTTTGGAATGTATTAAAATTTTTCAAAATCCTATCATCAGCCTCATCGTGGTGGGAGAGTGGCAACATCTTTTGGGGCCTAATAGAGGTTTAAAAGGTTCCTTGTGACCTAGGCAAAGAATAGGATCACCGTCTCCTCTAGTGTATAAACCACTTAAAGGGGTTGATGTCAGGAAGGGCATCCGATAGTAAAAACCTTGCTACAAAATTTCCTAATGATTACAATAAAGCATGGGTGGTGTACAGGGTTGCCATGTCTCCCCACATCAGCGGGAGACTCCCGCAAATTTTTAGTTTACATGCAGACATCTCTCTCTCGCAAAACTACCGCAATTGGAAATTTCCCGCAAAAATCTACCGCAATTTTTTAATTTCTCGCAATTATTTTAAAGTATTTTAACGTTTTAAATATATAAATAATAATTTTGAGATACAGTAATTGATTATTTTTATATTTTTAAAATAAATTTTAAATATTTATTTGAAAAACATGTCCAGTTTGTAAATTTTTTTTCTATCCGGTTTTATTTTTATCCAATAATAATCAGCATCATTTCATTCATATAAGTCAGTACAGGGGAGTATATCAACATCGATTGCAATACAAAAATATTCTCCAAAAATAATAAATAATACAGATGCAACTACAGTTGCGGAAATCGTATACAAATGTAGTTCAACATTCACAGAGCTATATCATCACAATGTGGGTAGAATCTTTCCCATGATATTTAGCGATATCAATATAAGTGCAAATCATACTTGTAGAACAAAAATGAGTAAGGCTATCACAAGTGTTTTAGTACCTGAATCCTATAGGTCAATTGTGCAATTCTAACAGATGCACCTAATAAGGGAAATATTAAACATTTCCCTTGATCCTTTACTATTTCAACAAGAATAAGAACATTTCAATAAAACTGTTAAAAATTTTTTCCTCGGATAGTGAAAAATCCAACGATGTAGCTAACCACATAATGGTAAATATAGCTGATTCAAGGTTATCAATGATTTGCATGTCAGCTTTCTGCACTGATAATGCCTCTGTAAATTTTGGCAAAAACCAAAGTGTAATTACCGAATTGAGGCAGTACAATAATGAATTAATACCAATTGGCTGTATATGCCATATACTACATAATTCTTGCAAGAAGGCAATGAATGTACTATCTGTAGATGTCGAAATAATTGTGATGAAATGTTTTAACGAATTTAGTTCATCAACTAAAAGAGTTGGTGGAGTGGTCTGACTTTGAATGGTGTGAGTTGCTGCGATATGTACCTATCAGGTGGTTATCATTAATACCTGCCATCGATAATTTTAAAATTTTACAAACCCTTAAAAAAATACTTCTAAAATAAAGATTTTAAAAGCTGTCCAAAAATTTTATGAAATGGCAGAAGCATATTTGGGATTAGTTTCACATGTAGGAAATCTACTTCATACAGTTACTATCAGAATATTCTTTATTAATAAAGATTCACAAAATCATGCTACAGCTCTGTTCATCTCTACAGTTAAAAATTGATAATAAATTTTATGGCGCTATTGCTAAAAATATTATATTAAAATGTTCAAATAATACTCTAATTAATGCATTTTTAAATGAAGGACATATTTTTATTAAGACAATTTTTGATTATTTACAATCAAAATTTGATTTTAATAACTCTTATTTACAAATGTATAAATATTATGACCTTGGAACAGAAACCATCAATTGAGTTTTTGTAATTTAATAAATATATTAAAAATACCGAAAGACATTGATGTCTTGTTTGAGGAGATTGTAATTCTCTCTATTTTTTATGATTCACCAGAAAGTTAGATGGTCTAGCAAAGAAGAAATGGGTAGAATTTTTTCGTAATAACAATAAATCCCCATGCTTGGAAAAAATATGCTAGTATGTCTTTTCCTTACCTCATTCTAATGCCTCATCCGAGCGCATTTTTAGCCTGAGACTGCCTGGAAAAAGGAGAGAAATCGGATTGCTTTAACAACATCAGAGGCCGAGCTAATGGTTAAACAAATTTAAAAAATGTCATGCCAGGAATTTTATAAACATCTCAATAACAACGAAAACGTTTAGTTCCATTATTTAAATCTCAAATAAAATATAATTAACATTATAACTATTTGATTTTCCATATTTTTTTAAAATATATTTTATATCGCCGGGGTGGCCTAGTGGGTTATGATGTAGGCTTGGAAACAGAAGGTTCCAGGTTCGATCCTGGTAAGGAACGTAAAAATTTTGGATTTTTCTTCGATGACTGACGTGTAAAGACATATGGTAAGATGAATTTCGGAGCTTAGAGATGACACTCTTGTCACCGACAGGCTTGAACAGCCTGGTGCTAAGGATACCTGTCCAATAAGCAAAAATGAAGGACACAAATGAAAATATGAATATGAAAGCTAGGGCGTTCCCTCCAAGCGACGCGCAGGGTGTGGACCTCCATTTTGCGAAAAGTATAATAAAGGTCAAAGCAAAGAAGACAAGGTTAGCAAGTTCGAATATTGGTACATTTAAAGGTAAGACGAGAGAATTGGCATCAATGTTGAACAAGAAAAAAGTTGATATATCCATACAAGAGACGAAATGGAAAGGTCAGAAGACTTTAATGATTGGAGATGGGTATAAATTTTACTATAATGGAATTGTTAACAATAGGAACGATGTCGGCATCATCCTCAGTCAAGATCTAACCTTCTCAGTATTAGAAGTCAACAGGATCTCTGGTAGACTAACGAAGATAAAACTCTGCATTGGTCAATCAATACTACACATCCTTTCAGTAGGTGCTCCTCAAACGGGTTGCAAGGAAGAAGAGAAAGATGACCTTAGAGCTATCCTTGATGAAGCTGTAATAGAAAGCCCTAAGGATGATCTAGTCATAAGGTGGTGACTTAAATGCGCATGTGGGAAAAGCAAGAGATAGCTACAAAAGGCATCATGGTGACTTTGGATATGGAAAAAGAAATGATGAAGGAGAGCATGTACTGAAATTTGAGTAAGCTTCGACCTTGCCTTAACCAACACCTACTATAGGAAAAAAGGAAATCATCTAATAACATATGAAAGTGGTACAAGGAAAATCCAGATAGATTACATGCTTATCTCTCGCAGAAGATTAAAAGATGTAAAATAGACTGCAAAGTCATCGCAGGAGAAGATATTGCCTCTCAACACAAGCTACTAGTCATGGATTTACACATCACAAATAAATCCTCTCAAAACAAGATAAAACTTGAACATTGCATCAAATGGAGTAGATTAAAATCAATGACAGAGATTCCTCACAAGTCAGAGAAAAAATATGGACAGACCTTTAATCTAAATTAATAGACATTAGGCTTGACAAGGGGAGGCAACAAATCATACAAAGAACTATGGTAGTAGAATGAAAATGTACAAACACTATAAAAGAGAAAAAAGCCCTATATAAAATATGGTATAAATAAAAAAACCCAGATGACAAGACAAATTACAAAATATCCAAGAGAATAGCTACAAATACGGTGGCTAGGGCCAAAGCTATGGCATACGATGACATGTATGAAGAACTACATACCAAAGAAGGGCAAAATAAAATATACAGATTAGCCAAACAGCGAGAAAAGAATTCTAGGGATATAAACGGAGCTTTGAAAGTAATCAAAAATAAAGATGGGAAATTGATAATAAAGGAAAAAGAAATAATGAATAGATGGAAAGAATATTTTCAGGAGCTTCTCAACTTTAATCCCCACATACTACATCTAGACGAACACTCCCGAACAAGGAATAATCACATGCCTCAAGCATATGAAAAACAACAAAGCTAGGGGTCCAGATTACGGCTAAGCCTAAAAATTGGCTAAAATAAATTAGTCAAAAATTCTGCATCGATGCCTAGCATTAATTATTATTTATTTATTTTAGTAAAATAATTTATTTTATTTATATTTTATGTAAATATTTTATTATTATCAACAAATAAACATGATATGATTTAATATTTTTTTATTTATATTGTTATAATTTTAAATGAAAATATTTATTTTAATAAAATTTACTTATGATGTTTTAAAAAAAAAAAAAATAATATGCTGCTATTGTAAAAATGCAATATTCTTTTTAATATAATTTATTAGTGATTTTCACTATCTTCTTTGTAAATACATCTTTTATTGATTGTAAATTTTATTAGATAAATAAACAATCTTTTAGGTAAAATCTTTTAAAATTTTTTTAAATCAATTTTGTTTATATATCTACTTTTTTATTAAATGAGCTCTTTTTTCCTAAATAATTTTTTAAAAATATTTATAAACTTTTTTGATGTTATTTTATATGATCTTTTTAAGGATAATATTTTTTAATGTGATAATTGTCATAATCGTTATTTTTAAAGTTTTTTGAATTTTTTTGACGAAAATATGTTAAAATAAGTATTGATAACATGTTCAAATTAAATTTAGTGAAGATGTACCATGACAATTGTCATAATCGTAGTTTTTTAAGTTTTTTGATTTTTTTGACGTAAATAGGCGAAAATAGGTATTGATAACATTTTTAAATAAAATTTAGTGAAGATGTACCATAGAATAAGTGACAATTGTCATAATCGTAGTTTTTTAAGTTTTTTGATTTTTTTGACGTAAATAGGCGAAAATAGGTATTGATAACATGTTTAAATAAAATTTAGTGAAGATGTACCATAGATAAGTGACAATTGTCATAATCGTTATTTTTAAAGTTTTCTGAATTTTTTTGACGAAAATATGTTAAAATAAGTATTGATAACGTTTAAATAAAATTTAGTGAAGATATACCATAGATAAGTGACAATTGTCATAATAGTAGTTTTTTAAATTTTTGACGTAAATGGGTGAAAATAGGTATTGATAACATGTTTAAAAAAAATTTAGTGAAGATGTACCATAGATAAGTGACAATTGTGATACTCGTTATTTTTAAAGTTTTTTGACGTAAATAGGCTAAAATAAGCATTGCTAACATGTTTAAATAAAAATTTAATGAAGATGTACAGTAGAAAAGTGACAATTGTCATAATCGTTGTTTTTTAAGTTTTTCGATTTTTTTTGACGTAAATAGTTAAAATAAGCATTGCTAACATGTTTAAATAAAATTTTAGTGAAGATGTACCCTAGATAAGTGACAATTGTCATAATCGTTGTTTTTAAAGTTTTTCGAATTTTTTTGACGTAAATGGGCTAAAATATGCATTGCTAACATATTTAAATAAAAATTTAGTGAAGATGTACAGTAGAAAAGTGACAATGTCATAATCGTTGTTTTTAAAGTTTTTCGAATTTTTTTGACGTAAATGGGCTAAAAGAAGCATTGCTAACATGTTTAAATAAAATTTTAGTGAAGATGTACTCTAGATAAGGGTTTCCCTTTCAAAATAAGTAAATCATAATATTTTTTTAATTTTTTGTCAATTTTTCTTTAACTTTTCTTCATTTAGTTATTCCTTTTTAATTTATTTCTAAATTTTTGCAATTCTTTACGTTTTTTTTCTTACTGTATCTTTTCTCAATTTATTTCTAACCTTTTACGAATTTCTTTACTTTTATTTTTCTTACTATATCTTCTCTCAATTTATTTTCCTTCAATTTATAAATTTAGGTCCATTTTTTAAATAATTTACGTTTTTATTCATCATACATACAGATATAATATTCTTTTTATGATTTATACATTTTAATCTTTTGCATACATTTTTAACCTTTTCAATCTGGTCATTTTTAATCTTTATTTGTTTAATTATTTCTTATTTTATTAACAAGCAAAAAATTAGAGTAAAACCTCTATACCACGAAAGGGCGGTTTAATAGCATTTATCTATTTTTTCTTCTCATTTTTGATAATTATTTTTTAAAATTAAATTTAAAGCTTTTGGCAGACAATATAAATACAATTGCTAAATTATATATGAATTGTTTGGTTTACTTTAACTGTAATACCAAACGATATTTAAATTAATAAAAAATAATCATTTTTAAATTCTTATTTTTAAAACGCATTAGAAAATTTTTATTATTTAAAACAATAGGGAAGACAGACTAAATAAAATTAAATTTTTTTAAGTATATTTTTATGAATTTTAATTCGAGTTATTTATATTCAGTTGTACAATCATCACAGTCCCAACAAGAAATTGTATAAATCATAAAAAGAATATTATATCTGTATGTATGATGAAAAAAAACATAAATTGTTAAAAAAATGGACCTAAATTTATGAATTGAAGAAAAATAAATTGAGAGAAGATATAGTAAGAAAAATAAAAGTAAAGAAAATCGCAAAAGGTTAGAAATAAATTGAGAAAAGATACAGTAAGAAAAAAATCGTAAAGAAATCGCAAATATTTAGAAAATAAATAAAAGTTAAAGAAAAATTGCCAAATTAAAAAAATATTATGATTTACTTATTTTGAGGGAAACCCTGTATCTAGGGTACATCTTCACTAAAATTTTATTTAAACATGTTAGCAATGCTCTTTTAGCCTATATACGTCAAAAAAAATCGAAAAACTTAAAAAACAACGATTATGACAATTGTCACTTATCAAGGGTACATCTTCACTAAAATTTTATTTAAACATGTTAGCAATGCTTATTTTAGCCTGTCTAAAAAATCCGAAAAACGTTAAAAACAATGATTATGACAATTGTCACTTATCTAGGATACATCTTCACTAAAATTTTATTTAAACATGTTAGCAATGCTTATTTTAGCCCATTTACTTCAAAAAAATTTGAAAACTTTAAAAACAACGATTATGACAATAGTCACTTTTCTACTGTACATCTTCACTAAATTTTTATTTAAACATGTTAGCAATGCTTATTTTAGCCCATTTACGTCAAAAAAATTCGAAAAACTTTAAAAACAACGATTATGACAATTGTCACTTATCTAGAGTATATCTTCACTAAAATTTTATTTAAACATGTTAACAATGCTTATTTTAGCCCATTTACGTCTAAAAAATCCGAAAAACTTTAAAAACAATGATTATGACAATTGTCACTTATCTAGGATACATCTTCACTAAAATTTTATTTAAACATGTTAGCAATACTTATTTTAGCATGCCAAAAAAATTCGAAAAACTTTAAAAACAACATATTCTTATTATAATTTTGTTCACATTAATCAGTTTCCCAAAATTTAGCAATTTACCAGATTTTATAAAAAAACAAAAAAATTGAGCAGACCCAACGAGTCAAATACACGAGCCACTAAGCGAGCCGACCAATGCGGCTCATTTAGTCTACTCGAGTTAAAGTCGTTTTTCGACTAGAAACTAGGCTCGAGTCGCAGCTAAGTCGACTCGGCTTAGCCGTTTAACTACACTAATGACAATTGTCACTTATCTATGGTGCATCTTTTTTAAATTTTATTTAAACATGTTATCATTACTTATTTTAACATATTTTCGTCAAAAAAATTCAAAAAACTTTAAAAACTACTATTATGACAATTGTCACTTATCTATGGTACATCTTCACTAAATTTTATTTAAACATGTTATCAATACTTATTTTCGCCTATTTACGTCAAAAAACTTAAAAAACTACGATTATGACAATTGTCACTTATCTATAATACATCTTCACTAAATTATTTTTAAACATGTTATCAATACTTATTTTAACATATTTTCGTCAAAAAATTCAAAAAACTTTAAAAAAAATGATTATGACAATTCTCACATTAAAAAATATTATCCTTAAAAAGATCATATAAAATAACATCAAAAAAGTTTAATATAAATATTTTTAAAAAATTGTTTAGGAAAAACACCTCATTTAATAAAAAAATAGATAATTTTACGAAATTGATAAAAAAAAATTATAAAAGATTTTATTTATCTAATAAAATTTACAATCA